TGGGACCACAGGCGCCCACCACAACGCCTGGCCATTTTTTGGTTGCAGCCATCATTGTTGTTTGGCGGGCCCGGGCTGGGGATTCGAACCCGCCACCATAGGTGTATGTGGCTGGCGCCTTAGCCGCTTGAGCCACAGGCACTGAGCCTGGTTTCTGTTTCTTTCTGCCTCTCTCTAGGACACCAGCTTCCAGAAAGGACCCCCCATGGATCACACTGGTGCAGGCAGAGCCAAAGAAGAAGCCCGCCCCACTCCCCCCTAGCAGCAGCCCTGGGCCGCCTGAAGGGGACAGCAGCTGGGTGGAGAATGGAGGTGTGGCAGAGGGGGCCCAGCCGAGCCCAGCAGCCAGTCTGGAGTCCAAGTCCCATAACCCCTTTGATGATGATGACGATGAGGAGGAGTCCACAGCTGCACCCAGCTTGGCCATCAGCCCTGCCCCAGCCCACCCAGAGTCCACACCCAAGTCCCTGCATCCCTGGTACGGCATCACCCCCACTAGCAGCCCCAAGGCAAAGAAGCGCCCTGCACCCCGTGCGCCCAATGCATCTCCACTCGGTGAGTGCCTTTCCTCTGGCTGTCCTGGCAGTGGGAACTCTAGGGTGGGCTACTTGGTCAGCTTAGGACTAGGGCTGGCTATGTATAGCAGAGCCTTTCCTGGCCAGGTGCCTGGCTCTCCTCTCATTTAATCCCAGGGCAAACCTGAGAGTGTCACCACTTGCTAGGTGAGGAGACTGAAGCACAGAGAGGTGAAGTAATTTGCCTGGGACACCAGTGCTTTAGCAGTGGTGGCAGGATTTGAACCCACGCAGTTTAGCTTGAGCCTGTCCCTCTCACTCTCCTGTTGTGCTAATTAAATGTGTTATCCAGTGAAGTGCTCAGTATAGCACAGTGTGGGGCTGGTGGAAAGTGTGCACCAGGGGCCAGCACTAATCCTACCCAACCCAGTCACTGTTGCTGCACTTGCTGAGTGACTTGGCTCTCACTTGGCTGTATGTGACTCGGGTGTAGTGACTTTGAGCTGTTCCCTCCCTGAGCTGTCCTCAGCCTGCCCATCTGGGAAATAGCAGTGGGCCAGCTCCAGGGTGCTGTGCCTTTGCATCCAGGTCTTCCTCCCTCACGCAGGCTCACCATAGTGTCTGGCCTTCACCTTCCAGTGTTCACCTTATGCCCCGGGCTTGGCACTTTCCACCATGGCTGGGATCTAGCTGCCTCCAGGAGCTTAGTGGGACCCCATCAGGCAGTGGAGCCAGCCACCTGCTAGAGGCCACCAGAGACAGGTTCTCTGAGGGTCTGAGTGGAACCCTCGGACCCCCTAGCTGAGCGTGGCCTGTCTGAGTGGAGGTGGTGAGCAGCTTTGGGGTACACTGGGGGGCATGAGGGTCAGATACAGCAGGGTTCAACCCCAGCCCTTGCTGGGACAAATGCCTTCTCTCTGATTCTGTTGCCTTGTCTGGAAGATGTAGAGGACCCATTTGGATGTGTGGCATTTGTCATCCATGGGGAAATAAATTGGTGCCTGGCAGGGCCTGGCTAGAGCCAGCTGTTGTGAGGGCTGCCTGCTCTCCTACCTCTTCCCTGCAGGTCAGAGGCAGAGAAGAGGCTCCCTCACTTCCTCTGGCCTTCTCATTTGCCAGAGTCCCCACCCTTCCTGCCTGGTGGCTTTGCCTTGGGCTACACTCAGGCATGGGGGTACCTAGCAGTGTGGGGGGAAGTGGAGCCAGCAGGCCTTCTGGCTGAGTGAGTGAAGAGCAAAGATGTGCCACCAGGTGGCAAGCAGAACATGAGGAATGTGGGAGGCACTTGGGTGACTGGCTGCTCTTAGTGACTTTGGTCCTGCCTTGTGTTTGCTGTTGTCTGGACTCTGCCTCATCTAGACATGGGGGGCATGGGTTTTCAGGGCTACTGCGGCTCTGTGGAGCACATTAGGTGAGGCTGGAAGCCCTGATTGTGCCCCCTTGTGAGGTGCCCACCTGCTTGGTTTGTACAGCTCTGCACGCCTCCCGTCTCTCTCACTCGGAGCCACCCTCGGCCACACCATCACCAGCCCTAAGTGTGGAGAGCCTGCCATCAGAGAGCTCCAGCCAGATTGCTAGTGGGAAGCTTCTGGAGCCGCCAGCTGTGCCCAAGAGCTCCTCGGAGCCTGCTGTCCATGCCCCTGGCACCCCTGGAAACTCTGCCAGCCTTTCTGCCAACTCTTCCCTGTCCTCCTCTGGAGAGGTGGTACAACCCAGCGTGGTGCAGACACCTCAGGCCAGCCCTGGACTTGCCCCCAAGACCAGGGGCAGTCCAGGTCCCCAACCAGCCAAGCCCTGCAGTGGTGCCACCTCAACCCCACTCTTGTTGGTTGGAGACAAGTGCCCAGCATCTCCCCCTGAAAGTTCATCCCCACAGTTGCAGCTAAAGGTGAGTACTCCCTCACCCTCCCCAAAAGTTATGTCATCTCTGGTGGATGTGGGACTGTCCAGGCTTGCATCTATGCTGGCCCCTGGTTTCTTGAGTGGCCTGTCTATGCCCATCTACCCATTCTCCAGTCTGTTCACTGAGGCACGAATCCATCTATCCATCTTGCCCCCACTTGCTAGAGCTCTCATCTATCCGTCTACCTGCCCACCCACTTGATTATTTGTATCCTTTGCGTCTGGGCTTGTTTACCTGTGCCTGACCCCTGCACTGGCCCATTTGGGATCTATTCACCAGTCTACCCTTTCATTAACCCAGGCTCTGTTGCTGCCAGAGCCTGGGCTGGATTAAGCTGCCTTAAGACCCTGTTCTTGCCCTCTAGTGGCTTACAGTGTGCTCAGTGAGACAGGAGTAACAATTGATCTGGAAGGTGATCTGGGGTAGGAGGGAGGGGATGACTCACTTTTCTAGAGACTCAGCCTCCCTGTCATAGACTGGGGCAGCTGGTGCTCACTGAGCACCTCCTGAGTGCCTGTGTTTGGGTCCCTGGGCTCCAGAGGTCATATAGATGGTGGTCCCTGTACTTGAGACGCTCACAGCCAGGTCTGGAGAAGGTGCTGAAGTGACCGTGCCACTGCGTACAGTATTTGTAGTGGGCAGGGAAGGGGATCAGCCCTCAGGAGGCAGAAGCGCCCAGGACACACACGTATACCAGATGCATCTGTTGAATCTGAGGATGGGGGGTGTCTTCCTCTTGAGGGGAAGTGGGTATGAGGGGCCTGGCTGGGCACCTATCCCAGGCAGCTCCTCTTGCAGATCCTTTATGAACTATTGGCTCACTTGTTTCTCTGCCTCACGCCAAGGAATCGCCTGCGGTTGGGACATTCCTTTGGGCATCCTATTCAAGAGGGAGGGGTCTCTTTCGCAGCCACAGGCCCTTTGTATGGCCTCATGCCCTGATACCCTCTGAGTGCCCAAGGTTCGTCTGTGTGGAAGGTGGCAGGACAGCTCATGGGGGCAGCCTGTGGCCTGACCATGGCTGCTGGTCTATTCCTACCCTTGTGCATTTCAGATCTCCTTTAACCTTCCCTGGCCTGGGCAACAGCCTTTTGGGCACTTATTTCATCTGTGTCTCCCTCTGTTGGGTGACCTTGAGAAGGCCCTACCCACTTCTGGGCCTCAGGTTCCTATTTATGGCGAAGGCCTACTCAGCACTGAATTTCTGGACTGTTCTGCGATCCCCCTCGGTTCCCTGGAGGTGGGAGGGTGGATCAACTTTGGATTCATCCCCCACCAGCACGATGCCTCTTTCAGATACCTGGCTTCTGTCCCGGGGTGGGTGAGAGACTGGTTAGAGGGAGTTTTGTGGCTGAGAAAAGGCTGGAAACCCTTGCAGGGCAGAGAAGCTTTGTGCTCTTTGGCTTCACTGGGCCCCTGCAGTGTGTTTGTGCATGAAGGGTGCAGAACCTTAAAAGTGCCTCCTTCTGGGGAACCCCCATGCACCTTCACCCCAGGATGAGAAGAGAAATTTTTTTTTTTTTTTTTTTTTTTGAGACAGAGCCTCAAGCTGTCCCCCTGGGCAGAGTGCCATGGCATTACAGCTCACAGCAACCTCCAACTCCTGGGCTCAAGCGAGTCTCCTGCCTCCGCCTCCCAAGTAGCTGGGACCACAGGCGCCCGCCACAACGCTCGGCTATTTTTTGGTTGCAGCCATCATTGTTGTTTGGCGGGTCCGGGCTGGGGATTCGAACCTGCCACCTTAGGTGTACGTGGCTGGCTCCTTAGCCGGTTGAGCCACAGGCGCCGAGCCATGAGAAGAGAATTTTACCAGCAGCAGGAGCAGGAGCCAGGTCTGAGGTGACCCTGAGTCCCTGCCACACCAGACTTGGGCCTCAGCACTCCCCATGCTCCAGAAATCCCAGGGCAGCTCCCACCTGAAAGACTCTCCCTGAGCTGGTTCAGGCCCTACCCAAGCTACTGGGAAAAAGCTGGGTCAGCACTCCTTGGAGCACCCCAGGCCTCAGACAAGGCCTTTATAAGGGACCCAGGATAATGCCTGTTTCTGATGAGCTGGGGAGTGTGCTGGGAAACACTGACATGCCTCAGTGGTGGGGTTACCTGGTGGTGCTGGCCTCAGAGAGGGGAGAGGTTCCCTCAGAAAACACAAGGGCACAGAGCTTGAGCACTCTGGATGTGTGGATGGTGGGCTGGGCAGCAGAGGGTGGGGTCTTTTGGGCAGAGAGGGAGCTACCCTCCTCCTCCATCTGCTGGCTAGATGTGAGGGACAGGATCCTGCTTTTGCACCCCTGGCTGGGAGACGCTGGTGAGCTGCTTTACCTCTCTGAGCCTCAGAGTTCCCACTGGGGAGAAGGTGGCTATGTGGCTAAATGAGCCACTATAGTCCTGTCTTGCTTTGAGTCCCATGTTCTGACCACTGCCCCTCAATGTTGATGGCTGCCCAGGCCATGACACAGAGTCTCACCCCAGCTTGGGCCCTTGGGACGTGTGTGGCCCTGAATCTCTCTGAACTTGGATTGACTCAGCTGTGAAGTGGGCATTACAGCACCCACTGTGCAGGGTAGAATTAAACAAAAATGTGTAAAAAGCACCCATGCAGCAGCTGACACGTGGGAGGTGTTCTGGAAATGGAAATGTTTGTTGAATGAGAGCATCAGAGATAGGATTTGGGGAGACTCTCTCTGCCTGGGCCCTCCTGCCCCCAGGGGTCCTGGCCTGCTGGGGTCTTGACTTCTCCCTTCCTAGACTTACCCTGTGTTCTGCCTCCCTGCCTTTAGTCTTCCTGCAAGGAGAATCCTTTTAACCGGAAGCCATCACCCGCAGCATCCCCAACCACAAAGAAGGCCACGAAGGGATCCAAGCCAGTGCGGCCACCTGCCCCAGGACATGGATTTCCACTCATCAAACGCAAGGTAGCAGCCTGGGGCTCCAGAGACCTGGCTGGCTGAGGCTCAGCGCCCTCCCTTTGGCAGCTGCAAGTTGCCTGTAGGACTCTTAGAGAGGCTTGGTGTCTGGGCGGCTGCCCTCAGGTATTCAAGAGGGGGCTTTTGGGTGATCCAGCCTGAAGACTTGCAGCCAGGGGGATTTAGAACATACTAGCCCTTCACAACCAAGAGGGTGGTGCATTTCATTTGTTCCTAACAAAGTTCGAGTATCAAAGCACTTACAAGCTTCTTAAACTGATTAGAGTGTTCTCAAGATTATCTCTGTAGTAGGGTCACTTTCACTGACATTGTAATATCCTTTCGGAGTGGCAGAGCAAGAGAGGCATTTCCACGAAGGGTAGGAAGTTGTGCCTGTTCTGTTGTGTCTGTTGACTCTGTGACCAGTGGCATGCAGAGCCTATGGTTGTCCCCACACTGAGCCTTTCCCCACAATGGGACCCTGCCTTTTTACCACACTGGCATGGGGGCCGGGGTGGGGCCCCTGCAATCTGCAGTGGCCAGTGCCGGCCACAATAAAGGATAAGCTCCTGGCCCCAGACTGAGCCAGAGGGGGACAGGTGGAGGAGGGGTCGGCCATCCTTTCAGTGACCAGGTCACTGTCGGGCAGGTCCAGGCTGACCAGTACATCCCGGAGGAGGACATCCATGGAGAGGTGGACACAATTGAGCGCCAGCTGGATGCCCTGGAGCACCGTGGGGTCCTGTTGGAGGAGAAGCTGCGAGGCGGCGTGAATGGTGCGGGCATTGGCAGTTGGGACCAGGGCTGGGAGCCTCTATTCCTGGGGGCTGAGCCCTGGCCTCAGCAACTCTCTGGCTTCCAGAGGGCGGTGAGGATGACATGCTGGTGGATTGGTTCAAGCTCATCCACGAGAAGCACCTACTGGTGCGGCGGGAGTCCGAGCTCATCTATGTGTGAGTCCCCCACACCCTCACCAGGCTCCCTCCCAGAATTTGTAGAGCTTAGAACCTAGAACCTGTGCCATGCCCCCATCACTGTGGCATAGGGCAGGACAGCCAGATCAGTTGCCTGTTCCCACCCCAGCTTCAAGCAGCAGAACCTGGAGCAGCGCCAGGCTGACGTCGAGTATGAGCTTCGATGCCTGCTCAACAAGCCAGGTGAGCAGAGACTCTCTGGCACCTGCCCCAGGGGACAGGTGATGCAGAGGAGTGGACCTCATTCTTCTCCTGTGGGTGTGTGGCAAGTGGATGGACAGAGCCTCAATGGGGAGTGCACAGGCAGACTGGTGACAGAGCCAGGGAGGGGGAGGCAGGAAGGATCCCTGAGGATAGGAGAGACTGTCACAGGTGGTAAGAAGCACAGAGCCATGGCAGAAAAAGGAACTGTATGGATGGCATGAGGGTATGGATGTCCATGGTGTCAGGCACGTGGGCTCTTGGTAAGCATGAGGCTGGAGAACAGCCTGGCCCTATTTGGGCATGGGGTCAGACGGTCCTGTTACAGGTCACCTTGCTGCGTGATCTTGGTATGTTGCTTTGCTTCACTGACTCTCAGTGGCTTCAAGTGCTAGATGGGGTGGGAGGTCCTCACCTCAGAGGGTATCCTCGGCAACTCTCTGTGCCCTCAGAGGTATTGATGGTTTTGTGTGGCTGAGTTGGAGTTTGATGAGAGGGCCTTCATGTGTCCTATGGCCATGACATGCATTGAATCGCAGTTGCTGGCAGGAGCCACAGGACTGTGGAGAGTCCAGAGCTGGAAGCCAGGGCTTGTGACCACTTACTTTCCCATGGCTTGGGCATGGTGCCCACCCTGGCCATTGTTCCCATCTCACAAATGAGGAAAGGGAAGGCCGGGGGAACTTCCCCATTGGTAACAGAGTTGGGCTTCTGTTTGTGTCTCTGGCCTGGGCCTGTGTTTGCACACACGGCCCCTCCCATCTGCTGGGATGGTGGCTGTGCCTCTTTACTGATCTGGGGACTTAGGAGGCTGGAGTGTCCTTGGGAAGCCACAGAATGTCCCTGGCTTTGGCAGGGCGTGGCCATAGCTCAGGGTGCTACAGCGACACCTTATGGCCAGAACGTGCACAGCACCTTTGCCTCCCAGATTGGCCTGGACCTGGGCTGACTATGGCTTCTTTCCAGGCCTGTGTGGTAACTGCACACTTTGGGCTTGTCAGCCTGTCCTGGGTGTTGTCTTTGGAGGGTGAGGCTAGTTTGTAAGGTCCTGAGTCTAATATTCCATAAGGACCATCACTTAGGGGTGTCAGGCTGCCCAGATTCAAATACAGGCTCTACCTTTGCTGTGTGATGCTGGTCAAGAACTTAACTTCCCTGAGCCTCAGTTTCCCCACATGTACACTAGGGACATAACTTTCCCAGGTCCCAGATTTGGGGAGTGGCAGAGTGGGATTTGTCTTTTGTTGTTGTAGTTGTGGTAGAGTCTCACTCTGTCACTCTGGGTAGAATGTTGTAGTGTCATTATAGCTCACAGCAACCTCAAAATCCTAGGCTCAAGTGATCCTCCTGCCTAAGCCTCCCTAGTAGCTGGGACTACAGGCACCTGGAATGACGCCCAGTTTCTTTTCTTTTTTTTTTTTTTTGAGACAGAGTCACACACTGTTGTCCTTGGTAGAGTGCTATAAGTAGCATCATAGCTCATGGCAACCTCAAACTCTTGGGCTCAAGCAATCATCTTGTCTCAGGACTACAGATGGCCACTACAACACCCACCTAGTTTTGGTAGAGACAAGGTCTCGCTCTTGGTCAGGCTGGTCTCAAACTCTTGATCTCAAGTAATCTACCTGCCTTAGCTTCCCAAAGTGCTAGGATAACAGGTGTGAGCCACTGCCAGGCCTAGTGTGGGATTTGAATTTTCATGGTGACTTTGAGGTCTTTCCCTGTCCCCAGAAGTCCAGAACTAGGTTGGGTCACCTGCTTTTGAATTTTGGTAAGGTGAGGGGGTAAGGGAATGTGACAGTGGCTGAGGGGGCCTCAGGATATGTATTTCAATATAGGGATGCCTATGGTGGGTGCCCATCCCTGGAGCCTACAGGATGGGTGGGGGAGGAGAAAGTAATACTGAGGCCCAGGTGGGCCCCTGCAGTTAGCTCCATGGGGCTGGGCCTAGAGGAGAGAGAGAGCCCCGTGGGGCAGCAGGTCTACCCTGTCCCATGGCCTTATCTCAATACCACTTGGGTCACATTGCTTTTCCTGCATGAAGACCCCTGGCCTTACCCTGGCCCACTCATATTCTGCCTCCTGCAAGAAGCCACTGAATGAACATTTATGGAATGAATGAGTGAACATCAACAGGAAACTCTTTGGCACACACTGGCCTTCTCGCAGAGCTATGCTGTGCTGGCCTTGCCCTGGCCCCTTAGGGGTTTTGGTAGGCTGTCTAATATTCTTAGTCTCTTTTATCACAGTTTTATTTCCCTGAGAACTTGTGAACCCCACATTGGGCCCCTCCTTCCTGTGTTCTTGGTATCTAGCGTGGGGCAGGTCCTCAGCCCACCCAAAGCACGTAGGCAATGGCTCCTAGGGAGAGGAGGGTTTTCCTACCACTCATGCTCCCTACTTTTCTCCCTGGATAGAAAAGGACTGGACAGAGGAGGACCGCAGTCGGGAGAAGGTGCTGATGCAGGAGCTTGTGACCCTCATTGAACAGCGCAATGCCATTGTGAACTGCCTAGACGAGGACAGGCAGAGGTGACATGACTGAGGGAGGGGCTTCTGGCCAGGGGCTCCAGGGGGAGGGGCCCAGAGCCTGCTGTGCTGAGGGCCCCATGTGTGGGGCAGCTTCTTGGCAGAACTCAGGATCACCACACCACAAGGCCTTGCCAGCTATGCCCTCTTGCCAGCAATCCCAGCCCACCCAGATTATCTGCTGCATTTTCCTGTGGGGCACTCAGCTTCTTTTTCTCACTTCAGGGAAGAAGAGGAAGATAAGATGTTGGAAGCCATGATCAGGAAGAAAGGTGAGGCCTCTCTTGGGCATAAGGTTGGTGCCTGGGAGTTCCAGCCCACCTGAAAGTTGAACTGCAGCCTGGAGGATGGAGGGTTGGGGGAGGGTGAGGGGGACCTTGGAGCAGGTGCTTCAGGGATGGGGTGCACAAACTCCCAGCCTCTCTTTTGCTGGGGAGGCCATGTGTGGCAAGAGAGGCCTGGATACAGCAAGGAAGGCTGTGGGTCAGGCTTGGAGTGTGGCCATGGGATGCCCTTATCCCACAGAGGAGGACTGTGGCATATGGGGGCATTTTCCCAGAGTGGAGAAATGCAGCTGGTTTGGGTGGGGAGCAGTGCCTCCTGCCGATCAGATCGTGGTGGGAATGGTTAAAAGAGCACTGGACTGTGAGCCAGGGGATCTGGGTTTTGATTTTGGTCCCACCAGTGACTCACTTTGTGAGCTTGTCTTTACTCAGGCCATAGTCAGACTGTGGGGTTCTAGTCTCACCTCTGGTACTTATTAGCTGGGTAACTTGAGTCACGCACCACTCTTACTCTCAGTATCTGCAGAATAGGGGTGGTACTGGCACCCCTCCCGGGCTTGTATTGAGGATTGGTGAGATGACCCATAAAGCACTTAGCCTAGGGCCTGGCCTAGCAAAGAGCTCAGTTGGTGTTAGTCCATTTCAAAGGCCCACATTTTCCTTGTCTGTAAAATTATGGGCTCGGGCAGATGATTTCTGTCAGTATTTGTGATGTGACCCACAGAGCTGTGGGCACCAGCCCTGGTGATTCCAGACTTTTATGGGTAAGTGAATGCCAAGCTTCAGAGTTCCCAGATGGCCTTTTGGTGTGTTTATCTTCTGATCCTTGTCAACACCTGCTAGATACAGAAATGGAGGCTGGGAAAGATGAAATGACTTGTCCAAGGTTCCCCCTGCTGGCCACACACCCAGGCCTGTGTCACTGCCCTGCATGGACCTCCCCTCCCCACTTTGTGAAATGCTCCCCTTTTTCTGCTACAGAGTTCCAGAAGGAGGCTGAATCTGAGAGCAAGAAGAAGGGGAAGTTCAAGACCATGAAGGTGCTGAAACTGCTAGGAAACAAGCGTGATACCAAAAGCAAGTCCCCCGGGGATAAGAGCTAACAGCAGCGAGGGAAGCCAGCCAGGGACTGCCCCTGCCTGTGCCTGGACCACCCACCTCTCTCAGATCAGTGAAGAGGAAAGATGACTTAAGGGGAGGGAGCCTCTGGGTGAAGGCCTCTCACTGTGCAAGGTCCTTCAGCTCGGCTGGGCCAAAGAAGCCTCCTTCTTTCTCTGAGGCCCAGGCAGCTGTGACTCAGCCCTGCCCTGTCTGGTTCTGATGACTCCAGATGCTGTGACTGACCCAAGGGGGGGCAAATAAGAGCCTATGGTCCAGGGAGGAGCAATGGCTGAGCACATCTGCTCCTTGTCCTGCCCAGCCCCTTCTGTGACAAGGTGGCTTCTTGGGCCGTCTTCCCTCTGGACCACATCCAGATGGGATTCTTAGCTCTCAGAGTTCTGCCCACAGTGACCTCTGGCCTGGGTCTCCCACTGCCAGTGTTCTGTAAGCAGGGCCTAGCTACACTTCCTGCCCTAGCCCTGGCTCTGAGTCTCTGTCTTCCTGTATGTAGGGGTGTCCCTGAATCCCAGGCTCTGCTCACTCAAGAGCTCTGTTAATGAAGTGTCTAAGTTTGGGCTCACTCCTGAGTGGTCTATGCTGTCAGACACAAATGGGCCTCAAGGGCAAATCCCTGCCCCTGCTTCCTCCGAGGTCTAGGGGGTGCTGCCCTTATCTCCCCTCATTCCATGAGGAACCTCACCTTCCAGAGCTGCCATGGCCATGCTGGGGCAGGTGGTTACTTGTGTAACACCCCCCAGTACTCAGTCCCCCGGAAGGGCCTCAGGGGGCAGGCCTCAGATGCAGTTCTGGTTCCTGATTATTAGCCTGGGGAGGGTGCTAATCTTGATTCTTTAACTCATAGTCTGACCTCTAATTTAGGCTTCCTCCAGCATCCCAAGTCCAGGGGCCTGTGCCCATTGGTGGTCATCAGTAGTCTGTCTGTTCTCCCTGATGCACTTCCACTAAATACTGATGGCCACTTGCCCTACAGGGATGGCTGTAGGAGAGGGGATGTGATGGGGACAACCCCCCTTTCCTTAGGAAAGGTGCCCAGCAGCTCTTTGTCAAAGCACTGTTGCTATAAGCTATCCCTGGGACGCCCCCAGGCCTCCTCCCTGAAGACACCTCTGGGAAAAGATCACACTGTATTAACTTGTGAGGATTTTCCTCATCAACAATAAACAGAGACAACCTCAGCTGGCAGTGCCCTGCAGCCTCAGGGGATGGCCATGTCCACTTTCCTGCTTGCTGTGCCATGCCTTGTGGCTGGGCATCCCTGGGTGCCCAGGGGGCCCAGGCCCATGTTAGGGCTGCCCTCCAAGAGGGACTTGGCCCTCACTGCCTGCCCCTGGGCAGGATCCTCTTCCTTTGCAGGGAGGGGTGGCTGCCTGTGCTGTGCTGCCCCTGGTGGCTTCTTTCCAAACATGCCTGTTGGCCTGGCATTGAGGCCACCAAGTCCAAGGCCCTTCTGGGGCTAAGCAGGTAACATGTATGAACTGGGCCTGGTATAAGCTATGAGATGGCTCCAGTAGGCTGTCTCTGTGTTAGGAGACAAGGGTGGTGGGGACAGGGGTCACTAGGATGCCTGCCACAGCGTGAGAGGGCGTTTCTCATACAAGTCAGCGGTAGCCTTTGGGAATGAACGTGGGCACAGTGTTGCCAGATGTTTTCTATTTTGAGAAGGTGGAAATCCAGATTTTGCGTGGAATTTATAAATGTTGACAAATTATTTGAGTTTGACAAGAGTAGGCAGATACCATATTGTCAAGGGTTGGCAGAATTTGTCCTGGCGCTGTCCATTTTGCTGCCATATGGTGGGGCCTTTCAGATGGAGGACAGATGTTCCCGTCAAATTGTACCCTCTGCCGCTAGGTTCCACAGGGTATGTGACACAGCCTTCCCGTGCGATGTCCCTGAGCCAGCCCTAGATGGGCCTCTTACTCTGCAAACCAAAATTGGGTCATGTGACCCAAGGCTTCTGTGACTCCCTTCAGGTGCAGGAGATAGGGTGGTTTATGGGGGTAGGAAAATGGCAGAATACTGGGGAAGGCTCATGGGTTCAACAGTTAGAGGGAAGGGGACCAATGGACTGTGCACTGGGCCAAGGGTGGAGGCTGCTTGCCTTGTCAGGTGACTCCTCTCAGCAGCCAGTAAGGGCTTCACAGATGGGCAAACACATGCTGAGGCTGTGGGTTCTGCCCAAGGTCACACGGCACACACTGGGCTTGGAACTCCAACGCCAGGGCTCTTTTAGTGTGGACCTCTCCCTGTTCTTTTCTTTCTGTGGATCATGGGTTTAGTGGAAACACATAAAGCTAACTTTTTTCTTTTTAAAAATATTTCCATTACTTTATTTATTTTGGTCAGGGCTGGGTTGAACCCGCCACCTCTGGTATATGGGGCCGGCCCCCTACTCCTTTGAGCCACAGGAGATGCTGTAAAGCTAACTTTTTTTTTTTTTT